AGAGAGAGAGAGAGAGAGAGAGAGAGGTGGACGAAGGAGAGAAAGTAGATGATTGTGTCTGTGTGCTGCTGATTAGCTAGAATTGAACTGCCGGTGGGCAATTCAAATGGCTCGTACTAGTGTGCTGTCCCTCTCAATATGCTCAACCCCTCCCTCATCATCCTCCCTTACTCAGTGCCTGTCCCTTTCTCATAGTAGGAAATGCCAGTCGTCTTCACACTCTGGGGTGTCATACAGGCTTCGACATCACCATGGCCATCTTTGTAGAGGTGCCAAGAAATCCGAAGCAATTCCTCCTGCGCGCCCTCTTATGCCTAGGGCATTGTCTGCAGAGGACATGTTTCCAGAGTCACCAGATTCGACAAGGCCCAGCCAACGGTTACCGGATATAGGGCCTCTTATTCCACCAGAGTTTGAAAATGAGGTAGTAGTGGTAAATGTAGAGAAACCTACACGGGATGGTGTGCAGAGTAAGTCGTTGAGATTTCGGCTTGACTCGACAGTAGCTGTCGCCATCACTGCGCAGGCAGCATGGGAGTTTCTCACCCTCGCTTTCAAAGTGCTTTTCTGCATCAAAGTCGCACTGCAGACGGTTTTCGAAGTAACGAAATGTGTGCTTCAAGGATGGATCGGCATCATTCCTCTCGGGTTTGCGACGGGCGTTGCACTTGCACGTATAATGGCCGGGGTTAGGGACGAAGAGGGTGTGCTCGAAGCGGAGGAAGACAACCGACCAAAAGATCCGCGTACGCTTTACGTCCCTCCGAAGCTGCAGGTATGGCTCTTCAGTCTTGGCATCGCCTTTTGGGCCCTGAAGTTCTTAGGCCCAATGTCCGGTGGACATTTCGGGTACTTTGTGGCACATGTTGGCACGGGGGGTCTGTGGGAGTTATATGCCCTCTTTCGGGGTGTTGTGCATGGCGGGCAGGCAGGTCCACCCTCTGAGATGGCAGTTAGGAAGGCTATGGGAATATAGGCGGCCCACAAGTCTCGTCTTTCTCCGACGACTACCGAACGTGCCCTTCCAGCACATCCGGATGTGCATCATCGGTCTGACACGGCGAAGAAAGGTAGTAGGTGATCGTAGGAACGATACAGAGAAAGAAGATAATTTAGCATCGCCACTGCGCAAGAGGATGACACGTATAAGTTGAGATAAACCGTCCAAATTTTTGTTGCTTGAGTTCCGAGTTGTCGCTCCCGCGGCAAGAAAGTAGTGGTCATATTGATCTACAAGTGGGCAGCTCACACTGATCGTATCCTTAGCGCATTTCACAGGGGGACTAGAACCAACCTAACCCCTCTTTTTGATGCGCATTGCACAGGGGGACTAGAAACTGACCCCTCTTTTCTTTGCGCATTTCACGGGGGGGGGACTAGAAACTGATCCCCTCTTTTCTATGCGCATTTCACAGGGGGGGGGGGGGCCTAGAAACTGACCCCTCTTTCTGATTTTTCTACAAGGTGGAGGAGGATTTGTGTATTAGTTCCAGCTGTGCGTGAACGGAGAGAGTGGTTTCTGTTGGTCGGAACGCGTTGCAACTTGCATCCCCTTCGGTGCGCTTTGACAGCGAAAGTCTTTTCGAGAACTGGTAAGGTGTTTCGAACCTTGGGCGCTTTGGAGAAATTTGGACGCGAGATTTTGTTTTCAAACTCAGTTTTGTGTAATTCTGTTGATGGTGTATGGATGGTGTAGGAATTGCAGCACACCATGCGTCAGATCTCTCAGGGGATGCGAATGCGAAAAGCAATTGACGTTTCTCTTTCACTTTTAAGTGCCTTGTTACAGGGTCTTGGTGCTTCAATTGCTCGCCGAGGAGTTTGATCCTTGAACCTCATGATGCTTTGGTAAGGCACCAAAAAAAAAAGAAAAAAAAAGGTACGTGGTGTTGTTCTGGAATGTTCTTGGTGCCAGGTCATYTTTTYTTTTTYTTTTTTTTTTTCTTTTTTTTTTTTCTTTTTCTTTTCTTTTCCTTTTTCTTTTCTTTTTCTTTTTCTTTTCTTTTTCTTTTTCTTTTTTTTTGAGGGGGTGCAAGGTCATCTTGTATTTCTCCCCCATGGATATTTGAACTGGTAGTCTTCTGATACCGGCTTATCACAGGCATATGTTGGAGGGTCCGGGGCATGATCCCTGTACCTCACGCGGTGTATCAGAGAGTGCTATTCGTTCTGCTACGTCTGCAGTACCCGCTTACCGTACATTTTGCTCCACTTCACAATGCTCTAAATGTATCTGGATCTTGCGGGAGTCCAGATTCGTTCAAAATTTTGAACCAGACGGAATGTACTTGGGCTGCATCACAGTCTGAAGTACATGTAAAATGTTCTGTAGTGGATCGACTGCCATATCTTGGAGAACCAACATTGTTGTTAAACCACCAGTGCTTCACCCATACATTGGCTGCAGTGAAAAAAATAGAGCCTTGATGTTTCCACTCCAATGAATTTGGACCAGAGCCGCCAGGCCCGTCCGTCCCATGGATTTGGACCAGAGCCGCCAGGCCCATCCGTCCCAGTGTGCGAACTGTGACGTACGGAAGTACTCGTGGTTTAAACCACAAGTAGTACACGGCCCAAGCCTTGCAGTCCGAAACTTGTCGCCACAAGAAAACGAGGCCGAAGCGTCAAACGCTGGGCCCGCCGTTGATAAATTCGATCGGCAGCCTCGTTTTTGTTTCGCGCCTCCAGAATTTGAGGTGGCAGGCCCGCGGCCCAGGTGCCGATGTATTCGTGGTTTAACATGCTCCCTAACATATGTGCTGCTCACATGCGTTCCTGTGACATCTGGAGCTATAATTATGATTCCAACATTAAATCATTATGATTCCAACATTCAATCAAATACAAGTTTGTCATTGTGTTTGCTGCTAGAAATCTTCATGGTGCATGCATTCGTCGTCGCTCCCTCTCGCTCCACTACTCTCCCCCACAGCTATTGCTGAGATCCACATGCAGTGTCATGGTTTTGTGGGTGCTAATGGACTGGAACTATCAGTTGTGGATTCACTGGTTCAGTGTTGTTGCACACCCTTGCCCACATGATGTACCAAAACATGGTGCATCCGTCCTCGGATGGCCCAGCCTAATTAGTGACCGGCCGACTGCACATCATGAAGCAGTATAGTATAGTTCCCGTATTCCCAACCAAAATGGCACCATTGTTTTTGTCTTTTTTCCCTGTAACACACCCGGCCAGCAGTGTTGTTCTTCAAAGGTAGGGAGTGGGAGGAACCAGGACAAGATAACAGATATTTGGCGCTAGGTTCAGGGTGAAGAGGTCCCCCCCTCCCAACCTCCTGCTCAGTCAATCCTTTGGACCCCAGGGTAATCAATGGTGGCAGGATGATGCGATTTGATGTGATTTAAACTCTGTTTATGCAAGGGACGCTGGACCCGGTTTCCAGCAGGTGCTGCTCCCCACCAATAGATGGAGCCCTCCCCACGTGCTACCAGTGTCTGCTCTTACCAGCACCACTAGCACCGACGGGTGCCTTTTTAAAAAAAAAAAAAAAAAAAAACACGGTTGGTCTTTTCGCAAACTGGTTGTTGAAGAAGACAGATAAGTCAAACAGCACCCCGCTATGCGATACAACCCCCCACCGTCTTCTTCTCCTGCTCCTCTCCCTCCGCTTGTTCCCCTTACCCCTAACCTCTTACCAAGTTCTTATTAATATGACAACAATGTTATACTAAGTGCATCTCAAACCAGCTTTAAATTATACACATCATCTTTAACCTCTCATACCATGCCACATCAGCGTGGGCTCTGTCCTTAAAAAAAACGGTGTCGTAACAATTGAGATATGTAGAAGGCTGGCAAGGGCTGGCAAGGGCTGGCCTTTTTCCTATTCAATTTGAACACATTCTATTGAGAACCTGTCACCATTCGAGGTTGGAGAACTCACAGTACTCAAAATGGAAAAGTGTTTGTTGACAAGGGACTTCTCATGACGCAGGCCAAAGGTGCAAAAAAGAAACAACGTAACCGTGACATAATGGCACACAAGGGTGCGAAAAGGAAGCAACTTGTCAAAAAACAAAAAAATACGCCGTGACATAATGACACACATATGGTTAGCCTAACTATCTAAGGTACCTGGAATTCAAAGAATGTATAGGATACACTATATTGTTTAGTCTACTCCTAAATTGAATAGGTGGTCTATTCTAATTGTGTAAACTACTGCAGTCTTTAGTATAGGTGTTCGGGACCTAGTGGGCAGGATAGGGAGAGGTTTTGAGATTACCCCATTGATAAGGATTGAGGCTGTGGAAAACATGTACATCGTGATAACCCACTCCGGGAAAAAATGAAAAAAGTTGCGAGGTGTCGGGCATAGGGCCCAAAGAGGAAGTCCGGCAGGAGGCTTCACGAACCGGGTTTATCCCCAAGACGGGACACACAACCTGTTGGCACAGCGGACCCACCCACACACAGGGCTTACCCCCAAGACAGGACACAACCTCGCCACACACATACTGGGAGTGTCGCCGTGGACCGGAGCTACCAGGGTGCCAGCATCAAGGCATACCCCCCTCGAACTGGAGGTCCTACGTCCCCAAGGCCCGCAGCCGGGAGACAAGATGCACCGCAGCCACCTTGTGCTATGGGGATGAGAGTCACTCCCGCTGGGAAGGGGTCTAGCCCCTCCCCTCTCCCGTACGCCTCCTACTGAGCCTGGTCCTCCCGGAGCCTTCTCCCCCCATGGCCTCCAGCAACCCCAACAGGAGGCACACACTAGAGTGCGGGGACCCAAGATGCACGGTCGGGGAGTCGGCATCTGATGGGCGGGTGAATCCCCAATGCAGACCGTTACAGCACCTTGTGTCCATCAGTGCCCGTGGGAGCATGCGCACTAAGTGGGTGAGTGGTAGTGCATCAGTCTAACACCCTGCCTGTAGCTTATGCTGAGGGTGCGGGGTTTCGAGTCCGCAACCGCTTACCACAATGTGCATTTCCAACTGGTGCCCTAACCCTTGGGCCATCTGCCACTCACACCCACGCTGGAAAGTTTGTGCCAAGATCTAAGATTCAAAGATGGTATTTGTGGATCTAAGAGAAGGTTATAACCTCCAAAGTTTGTTGTTGCATGATCTCCAACATCTTATCAGTAATGAATGCTAATGATGATGTGAACCTCTTTTACTGCAATTTATCAGTCCACTAAGCACAATAGGTATCTTTTAAGCCTTGGCCAAAATCTTATAGTTGATCTTGACTTGCGAGATTGGCTGCGAATTCCTTATTTTGGCCTTGTTACTCTTCTTGTACAGACCAAAATGATGCCATGAGGTATTCCTTGGCTTAGTCTCTCACCAACAAGGATACATCTAAAAATTCTTATTAGGTAAGGAGTCACGGCCGTCAAGTGATTAACATAAAACTCCATCGAGAAGTCATTTTTGGATGACATTTTGCCCTTAGCCAGAAAGTTCATCGTGTCTCATAGCTTTTTTTGGTAAGCAACCTATCCAAACTTATCTTGGTTTATGCAAATGGTTTAAAGTTTTTTCAATACGATGTTTACATGCACAGATATGCTTTCAGACTCTCGAAAGATTTTCTAAATTTCAGGATATCCTTGAAATATATCGATGTCAGGTCAAACATTTTTGTCAACGAGACAGGTGGCCAAGTTTTAGGAAACAAGAAGTATTTCAACTCCTTCATCCATTAAGTGACTTTCACATATATCAGATTCTTAAGTGATTTCCTAGTCACCTTGTCATACATTGCAATCCCTTTAATCTTCATATTGTTTATGTTGCAATTCCTGCAATCCCCTTGTCACCTCGGAGTGATCCTTTGGACACACTACTCCTACGGTCGGGTGCAATTGCATTATGTTCTCCACGTCTTTGGGCCTAACTTGATATTTTTCATCCTTTTAGCTATAATTGTAGGAAAATTTAAGTACATTCAAGATAATAGTCAGTTGAGTGTCCAATTAGCATTCCTCATAGGCATAATACTTCTTTACATTGAGCCGATCTCCGAGGAACATGCTAATCTCGTCAGAGATATACGGGGGAAAAAACATACTAGTACTTATTCTAGCCCTTTTCCCTTTAATTGGGTGACTCGTAAGTTTAAATCCAGTTTTTGCCAGTTGCAATCAAACTTTGATTCACTGTTTATTTTAACTTCCACCACCAACTTTGCCTAAGAAAAACTACAAAAATGAAACATTGTCATATAATTTTTCAGAAGAATCGTTCGTTGTAAATTAACATCGAGTATGACTGACATCCATCGAATATATTATTCAACAAATCACTTAAATGTAACTCGATTACAAATTACAACAATAAAGACGAGTCAGATGACCTAAACTGGTTGATAATGAGGCCATTCATCATACAATTATAATCATATGCAATGAGAAGGCCTTTTATATTCAGAAGGTCTTCTACATGAAGTATATGCAATATTACGTTTTGAAAAAGAATTTATTTTTACTCTATTACGAGATGCATAGATGGTGACCATTACTCACTCATTCTTTAGGCTACCCGCATGGGTCGGGACCACTTGACTTACTTTTATGTCAAATTTGGTAAGGAATTTTGATGCGGTAAAATTGTTCAGTTAATTGTTTTGTATAACGGTGTTTTTTCAGTTATTATCTTTTTTTTGGGGGGGGGGGGGGGGGGGGGGGGGGGGGGGGGAGAGCTTCTTTTGCTCTTACACGGGGAGAGCAGCCCATCTGGTAGCGTAGCTCATTCTTATTGATAAAAAACGTAATTGACCTCAATTAGTCTCAAATGTGTAAGTTATTGTCAATGATCCTAGGCTCCAAATCACCTAACTTAGTTTCTGCAATTGAGTTATATGGATGTGACATCTATGCAGTTAAGGTTTCATAAGGGTGTGCTTACCTCTGCATATGGTATCACCTAGAAATCGAAAGAAATTAGTTGCGCCTGAATTTAGGCGGTTCATTTTGGTCAGTATAAATCGAAAGAAATTAGTTGCGCCTGAATTTAGGTTCATGCATCTTACTCTACGCTTGCTAACGACATCGCTTAAAATATTAATTTGGGAGTTTTCAACAATGAAGAAGTCGATCTCTATTTTTACTTCCATGAAAAAAAACTCTTGAGGTAAATCGAATCCAAGTTTTTATTGTTTGGTAGTTTCTCGTTTAGGTCTACCGAGAAACTAACGGATTTGAGTTAATCAACCCGAATCTAGTTAAACCATCACTCCCCTCTCCATAAAAAATATTCGGGGGACTGGTAACAGAAGTTCACAAGGGTTACTGGTACTGTAAAGTGAAAAACCAGTAGAATGGCAACAATAAAATTTGCGTCGAATCCGCATGACGATTATTGCATTACCATTTTATTTTTTTATTTTTTTTGAAAGATCACGACCAAATCCACTTTATCTGAAATTTTTGAGTTTTTTGCCTATTATTCTGAGCATGAAAAATCATTGAAGTTTAAGTACTTTCTT